TATTGTACCCTCATGATTTTCAAAAAAATTATCCAAAGTATTATTACATACATGTAGGAGTATATGAATTGAAGGTTGGTCATACGTACCAAGTTTATTCATCGTGGTAAAAACTGATTGCCCTTTAATACGTTGTTGTTTTGAAGTGATCAAAGCTCCATCCACTTGGCCACCGGAAGAAGGTCCAGATAATAATTTGATCGACGATGTTTTCCTTGTTTGATCATAAGTTATTCTTGGCAAACCATTTCGAAGCAAATGATCTCCGAGCATACTCTTCATGCTCCTTGATGATTGAAATGCCTTCGAAATGTTCATTTTCGCTAACTTCGTGTGAATTAATGATCTCTCTTTTAACTCTTGATAAGACTAGAAGTTTCTCCTAACATGAATTGATGCAAATGCTAGTTGGTGATGGAAAATATGTTTGTCAAAAGGAGGTTTATATAGGAACAAAATGTTATAAAACTTTATAAATTTTGATGCATGTATAATTGTATATATTTCATTTGCTTTCCAATTTCTTTAATTAAACTATCTGTATATTAACAAAGTTATAATATTATATATATTTTCAAAAATGTGAAGTCTTAGAATGAATTAGAATTGAAAGTGGTGTGGGGTTAGAGAATATATATCATCCATGTGTAAGCATTGTAGCTTTTGAGTCGGCAATGTTGCTTTCTGATGCCATCTTTCAAATATTTTAGACCTAAATTGAAAGAGGCAAGGTAGGTTTTTGTAAAAGTTTTACTATACTAATTTACCTTATCTAATTGAAATATTATACTATATAAAACGAAAAGCTAGGTATATACTCTTGTATTAAAAATGAGATTGACATTGAATTGGCTTGCTTAACTAAGTAAGGATATCGATTAAAAAAAAACCTAAGTAAGGATATATATAGTTATATACTCACTAGTTGATGACTAACATAAGATACCCAACCAAATCAAATGCAGCGTAAGATTAAATTTGTTTGTTGAGATTGTGTTATGTGATTTTGAAGAAATCTATAGATTAAAAGAAAAAAGTTATCATAGAATTTATCTAAAAATTCATCATAAAATTATTTTTATCGTTAAATTTTTACATAACTTTAATTAATAGACCAAAATCCCTCACGCAAGCGTTACCAGTCCAGCCACCTACGTTACACAAATCAATATCTAGCTCTAACTTGACAAGTTCCTAGCTTATGACTACTACTAGTATATGTTTGACTACTTTTTCTTTTTTCTTTCGTTTGGTTTTATTCTGGATATTTTTCAAATAATGTTATAATCCAATTCAATGAGCATTATACAAGATGACTGGTTGCTGACAAGATGACACATGGAATTGTCGAAACGTGCAATTAATTTTGTTAACACCAAATATTGCCACTAAAAATTCAGCTTAATTGGAAGCGAAGAAATCTTATATTTTGTCACTATCTTCAAAATACATCATCTTGAGTTGACAATAATATTTTATATACGATGAATTTTTAGAAATCTGGATACCAACCCAAATATATGATGTCAGGAATCAATTTTCCTTAGTTATATTTTTGTATAAATAAGTATATATATATACAATCTAATAAGATATTAGGGCAAGTAACTTGGCTCATTAGCTATATAATATTAGACTTAACACCCCCCCTCAAGTTGGAACATGCAAATCGCAAATGCCCAATTTGCCAAGCAAATACAAAAATTGGTGTTTGCTTAAGGCCTTAGTGAATATATTTGCGAGTTAATCAGTTGTTTTCACATGAGATGGACTAATATCCCCTTCCTGAATTGCATCCCGAACATAATGACAACCGACCTCAATATGCTTAGTGTGTCATGAAAGACCAGATTCTGTGCAATATATAACGCTGATTGACTATCACAAAACAAGCTCATCGCACGTCGATGCGAAACTCCCAAACTGTCCAGCAGCGCCTTCAACCATTTCAACTCATAAGTAATGGCCGACATGGAACGATACTCTGCCTCCGCAGAAGACTTAGTGACAGTATGTTGTTTCTTGGTCTTACAAGAAACCGGGGAACCACCAAGAAACACCAACCAACTAGAAATCAATCGTCTCGTTAAAGGACAATTAGCCTAATCCGAGTCACACCAACCTTTCAAGTAGCGTACCGTACGAAGTGCGGCCTCCTAATGATCTTGACGAGGTGTTGCATAAATTGAGATAAGATATGAATTGTATAGGCCAAGTCAGGTCTAGTGAAAGACAAATAAATCAAATAACCCACAAGACGACAATACATATTGGGATCATCAATAAGAGGTATTTTCGATTTCACCAGAGTATGATTTTTCTCAATCGGAGTACCAGCTGGCCTTGCCCCTAACAAACCATACTTTGCAATAATATTAAGGGTGTATTTCCGTTGACATAAAAATATGCCTTCCGAACTTCGTGCAACCTCAATACCAAGAAAGTACTTCTAACACCCAAATCTTTCATATGAAAACAATCACTTGAGTATGACTTGAATGTAGAAATTGCAGAAGAGTTATTCCCCAAAATAATAAAATCATCAACATACACAAGGACACTAAGATGAATAGCCTCATGATTCAGAGTAATTAATAAATAGAGAATAATCGGAGTACGATTGTATGAAACCGTACATTTTGAGAGAGCTAGACAATTTGGCAAACCAGAAATGGGGTGCTTGTCGAAGACCATACAACGACTTCTGCAGGCGACATACTATCCCAGATTGAGACCCATGAAATCCGAGAAAGGGCTTCATATGATTGATCAAATATACCGCCCCAAGAACACATTCACCCCACAAATCAATCGGCAGATTGCCTTGAAACATTAATGCTCGACCCACATTTAATATATGTTGGTGTACGCTCAACCCGACCTTTTTGTTGTGGAGCACCAACACAAGAAGTTTGAAACAAAATGTCATGTTCATCAAAGTAGGGAAGCATGTGTTTAAATTCCGTACCATTGTCACTCCGAACATATTTCACAGACACATCAAATTAAGTCTTAATCATACCAAAGAATGAGCAAAAAGATGAATAGACCTCGGTTTTGTCATTCAACAAATAAACCCAAACACCCCTTGAGAAATCATCAACAAGGGTCAAAAAGTAGTGTGCACCACAAGTAGAGGGAGTTTTATACGACCCTCATAGATCACAATGTATCATTTTAAAAATATGCCTAGCACGACTACCACTTATAGGAAAGCAATCCCTGGTTTGCTTAGCTTGAGGACAAACTTCACATGCCTTATGTAAATATTTACTACAAGAGTACCTCTAATAGCAGGAAGTAACTTGACAACTCTTTCAAAAGGATGCCCCAAACGTCGATGTCATAACTCAAATATTGAGACCTCCGGACCTGTGACCGCACATACTTTAGGGATACAGTGGAAATAGTAGAGTTTATCTATTCGTTCACCTCCTCCAATCAGGCTCCCCGAATTTTGATCTTGGATAGCACATAAAGAATTAGTGAATCGTACATAACAGTGAGAATCATCAATTAATTTAGACACTGATATCAAATTGCAATTTAATTTAGGAACAAATAAGACATGTTCAAGAATAATTCCATCCTCCAGGAAAACACGGCCCTCCTTTATAGCGATTGCTTGAGCACCGTCCAGAAGACCAACAGGGCATGGTAGAATGGATTGAATATCTATTAGAGAAAACTCGTCACCTGTTACATGATGAGAGGCACCTGTGTCAATAATCCACGACAAAGAAAAATAATCAGTGATCCTCAAGTCTGGCGAACAATCGGGGGTGAAAGTATTGCAGGCTGCTGTCGTAGCGTGAGCCAGGACAGCAGTAGGCGACACATTAGCACCAGCAGTAGATAGAGTAGTGTACGGGGCAGCGATAACCTTCATTATTTCGTAATTGCCGTATTTTTCAAGCCACCAATCAGGGTAGCTATGGACCAAAAATCAAGCATCGTAATCGTGACCCGATCAATTGCAGTGGGTACAATATAAATTCGCCTTATCATGTTGCTTTGATAGAGAATCAGCATAATGCAAAGTACTATGTTGATTGTATAAGTGAGAAGAAGAACAACCTTCATCCACCGTTGTTCATAAGTAGTAGAGAATTACAGAAGAGAAGAAAGGAATTATTCTTTTTAGGGTTTAGAAATTTAGAGGCCTCGATAACAATGTCAGGAATCAATTTTTCCTTAGTTGTATTACTGTATGAACAAGTATATATATACTCCCTCCGTTTCGCATTAGTTGCAACAGAGACTTAGCTCATAGTTTAAGAAAATTATATACTAGGCTTATAGGCTTATAATATAAAGTAATGTTACTAAGAGATAGAAATAATGTGGGTGGGGTTGGTAGGAAGGATAAATAATAAAATATTTGTGAAAGTGGGGTTAGTGGGAGAGAGAAATTATAAAAAAAAGGTGGGTCCTTTCCAAATATAGTAGTGTTGCAACTAATATGAAACGGACGAAAATGAAAAGTGTTGCAACTAATGCGTAACGAAGAGAGTAAAACCTAACAAGAGATTAGGGCCGGTATCATTGGCCCATTAGCTATACAATATTAGGCTTAACATATGATGCACAATTTGATTATAAATTGAGTATTAAATAGATATTATTTTGACTATGACAATGACCATATAATATATATTCTACGCCTGGTCTCTATAATAATGGGCAAAATTTGACTACGCCTTGGCTCTTAGCCGCTTATTATTAGGTATGTTCACTTAGACATATTGTATGTAAGAAATTATCATGCATGCATGGAAATCATTTTAAATGAATTGAGTTAAATTTCACATTTAACCTTCTTCTCCACTTAAAATTTTAAGTTTTCAACATCAATTGCATACAAATGTCTTTTAATTATCGTCATTATAACGTAAGAACAGAAAAAGAATAATTTTGACACAAACTCAAATAAACATATATTAATTTTAACTTTGTAAAAATAACACAAAATCATAGCATATAATAATCAGAACATATAATTAAACCCAAATACTTCGTAACATAAGAAGTAATTGTATATAGTTAAATTCCAAAGAACATAAGTTGTTATTTTGACAAATGCCAAAATCCGTTTTGATTTATCCACCTACTATGTAGCTAGGGAGCATCTGAGTGTTATACACTTATGCAACAGAAGGAAGTAAATATATCCTCATGAATAAAATCCATGTGTTTATATTACACTCTAGCATCTTAAAAATACTCATAGCTCAATGAATATACACAGGTGAAGTTGCTTCTACCGCGGCCATTGCAATGCCATTAGAAGCGCGTATTTAATGTACAAATTCATCTGGCTGATAGCCTGTACTTTCCCTACATACCTTCCCTCCATCGCCGAATATAGTCCCAACCAATGTATTTACAGGTCAGAGCTATCTACTAAAATAATCATGTGTATCTACCTCTATACAAGGCCTAATTGGGCTAGGAAAACAATTCATTTTCCTGTTTTTCTAGAGTTCAACATTCAGTTCATCTTGTGTAACAAAGGCTCACAAGAGAGTGCCTGATGTAGGATTCTGAACGTCTTTTTGTAATTTAGGAATCCCACGAACCAGAACTCGAATTCATCATCAGTTACTACTTGAATGTACCTTTTCGATGGCTTTTTCATGTCCTCAATTTGGTTGGCTTTCTTGATCTTACTTAAAGGGATCACAACCTGCATTATACAGATCAATGCACTTTAGCTAAAATAATATAGCAGAACAATCTAAGTAACAAAAAAAGCAGCTGATAAATAATTGTACTGACAGTAATACTGTATTTATGGTATGTTTAAAGGCCTTTAAATTGATTTACCTTGTAATGGTATCTTAGAGTTTCCCCTGAAGGAGAAGAGTACTTTGCAATGGCTTTGTCGCTGCAAAAAGCTATCTTATCAGTGGAGACGAAAAGGCGGCCTGTAAGCTGTCCTGCTGTGGTGAACAAAGAGCATTGAGAAGCCTTCAGAAGCTGTTCGCCTTCATTCAGGTTAAACATACGTCTGAATACTTTTTCCACTCCGCCTACACTTAGAATCTTTCCTCCTAAACTCAGCTTCTCTTTTGCTGTGGAACAAAATCAATTAGCACAAAAATTTTAATTAGTCCTCAGTAAAACAGAATCCTCCTTAAAATTTACAGAAATAAACAGATATGACATGATACACTAGTATACATATATCGTGACATACCAAGCTTGTTCATTGCGCTAATTACTGATTCCTTTTTACCCTTCTTCATAATTTTAGAGTTGCACCCATCTACATTATGACTAGAGGGTGCAATCAATAGTTTCATTGGCTTGTGCTGATGTCTGAGGACATGATCCTCAAGTGTACATTTCGCGGACTGAAATGCATAAGCAACATCCATTTTTTTACCTTGTTTGTTTTTTTGTATCTCTATAGTTCAAAACTTGAGAATGGGTGTAGCAAGTTTTATGTGATGATTAGTGGAGGGAATGAAGCGCGTTACAACCATGGATATATATAATATAGCAAAGAAGTGAAGCAAGTTGGTGAAAGAATCTTGAAACTTTTACAAGGAATGAGTCATCCAAGGATCAGCAAGTATGAATTCTTAAACAAAAGAAGTTGATACCACTGTGTTTGATTGCTTTTTATAAAGAGGCGAAATCTACTTTAGAAAAGTATTTGTCTCCCTTTTTTTTTCTTTAGGTTTAAATCTTTTTTGTTTAGTTATAGTAACAGGTGGAGACAGTTGATAAAAATTAGCAAGTGGTGTTGGTGGACTTCAGGTAATTAAATGTAACATGTTTGTATACATAAATAGGTAAGCAGGGAATTTCTCGCTTTGAGGGTTAGTTTCCAAGTTTATCTTCTTGATAAACAATCAAAAGATCGTTTCAAAACACATCAAGATTTGTGACTATATTTCCTAAAAATTGTGACTGTATTGTAGGTAGAAGGTTTTTATAAGAACAAAACTTTATGTTTCTTTTACTTAAAATGCCAAATTAATATCTTAAGGGTCATTATTCTTGTACAAAACAAAACTTGTACAAAAATATATGGTGCTGAACAGATTTTTTATAAGGCCTACTGCAGCCTGTTATAAAGCCATTTTTTTTTAAAAGGACCTAACAATTGACCTGTACAAATCTGAGTTTAGCCAACTTAAAACTGACTTGGCTGACAGATTTGATAGTTTACTAATAACTGATGTTGATTTATACATCGATCAGCATATTCCACACATTACTTCCATTGTATTGCTATTTTCTTTTGGCTGCGTCTATGTTTTGTCGTTCTGTTTTTGTTTGATTCTGCTGAAGTGTAAGCTTGCAGGATTGAGGTGTGAGTGTGACACAAGGATTGCCGTCGTGGGAAAGATTAAAAAAAAATCATGGACAATAGCAATGTCATATATGAATCAGCAACATTGCAATCTATAACAACTTTTGAGTCAGAAATCATATACTTTGGGCAAGGATAGTTTACTTTTTCCTTTGATTTCCTAATGAAGGATATTCCTTAGGCTTGGATTCAGGTAGATTTGCTTTGGAAAGGGTAAAAATTAAAGCTTCCCCAAACATTTAGGATACTCACATGCAACAAAAAGTTTGCTGAATCAGCTTCTGGTCAGATGAAGGTCTGTTGACAGGAAAAATATCAGGAAGAGGTTGATATATAATTTATAAAATATCAGGAATTGGACATCCATTGATTCTTTCACTATCAATTAAGATTCAGAGTTACATAAAGTAAAATTAGCATCAAGATTAGACATCGACTATTTACTCCATTTCTAAATACAAGTAACGATTTGACTTTCATGCTTATTAATTAATGTCGAACTTTGATCATCAACATCTCTAAAAAAATTTCAAGGAATGACTAATCAAACGTTGATACACTGAATATATGTATTGAATCAAATGTCATGACATCTTATATAATAACACTTATGTTTTATTTATTTAGTCAAAATTAAAGTTAAATTTTGTATGTAAATAGTTCAGAAGTCAAAATGTTGTATATATGTACTAACCAAGGAAGAAGCATATATTACAGAATAGCAATAAGCAAGAGTATGAGTTTGGGGTAAAGGTTACCCCATGTATGACTACTAACACTTGGCATATCCAAATACTTCAGCAAGTACTTAAAACTGTTTTTCTGTCCTGCGCGTCCACTTGGTGATGCCTTGGTTGTATGATCAACTACTGGTCCATATCTATTTGGTCAAGCTAAGTAACCACTAACCATCTTCATTATGTGACCGTGTTCCATACATGTAGACGTCCTAAGGCAAACCCAACTGTAGTTGTTACGCAACCAAGGAGCCAAAAAAATAATAATTAAGGCAACAAACCTGACAATAGCTGTTATGCAACCTTAAGGTACACCATGTTGTAAGCTCTTCTGATCTATGTAGACAATATGCTGTAATTTTTTGGTGCAGCCGTAAATGCTAGGTAGAAATTCAAATTGCTCTAAAAATATACTTCGTATTTCCTCCCTTCTTTTACCAGATTTAATCTATTCCTTCTACATATTGTAGAGGGTACATAAGCATATAGAAACTTGTGTTGATTTTCCTCTAAATATGTAAGTTTTTCCATTGTAAGTAAGCATGTTAAACAAGAACAAATAAATCAATTGAATTCCACAAGTCTTTCTTTGTATAAAACTCGAGAAAAAGTAAATCTTATTTTACAATTCTCTTTTTCACACAAATGAATTCCTTGATTTTGATTTCTTAAAAATTATTCAGTGCTACTGATATGATATTTTTTTTAATATCTATGCTATTGAGTTGTAATACAATATGAAAATCAATTCGGGGCTCAGATATGTGCTGTTTATTACGTCTGTGTAAGGCCTAAAGATAACCATATCAAATCACAAATCATAATCATTTATTCGAACATTCATCAAATCAGAGATGGTTTAAAGTTTAAACCATCCTGTTTCTGAAATTTGAGTTATACAATGTTTGTCTACTTAATACTGCTGCATGGACAGGTTCATTTACTGAAGATAAAATGTTTCAGTAATCCTAAACAGCATTTACAAAGCTACTCTTGTATACATATATATCTACAGAAAGCTAGCCTGATTGATCATTGTGGAAAAATAAATGGTTTTCCTACTGATCCATGTCAAACTTTCATTCACTCGATCTCATCTAATTAAGGCTCATAGAGTCCCGGAAATTGCTTGCTGTAGGCTTTTGAAAGTTTTCTTGTAATTCAGGAATCCCGCGAACCAGAACTCATACTCATCATTGGTCACAACTTGTAGGTACTTTTTCGATGGCCTCTTCACATTTTCACTTTGGTTGGCTTGCTTGAAATTTCTTAGAGGAATTACAACCTGCATTTAGATTCAATAATACACTTCAGTTTAAACATTAAAACAGAACAGTCTGCAATATATTACAGATTGATTGACAGTACTATATGTTTAGTAAGTAAAATTGATTTACCTTGTAATGATATCTGCAAGTTTTCCCTGAAGGAGAAGAATACTTGGCAATGGCTTTGTCGCTGCAGAAAGCCAGATTTTCCGTGGAGATGAAAAGGCGGCCTGTAAGAGCTCCGGCTGTGGTGAACAAACAGCACTGAGAAGCCTTCAGAAGCTTTTCTCCTTCATTGACAGTAAATATTCTTCTGAATACTTTTTCCACCCCACCTACTTGCAGAATATTTGCTCCTAAACTCAGCTTCCCTTTTGCTGTAAAAAGAAATCAGTATACACAAAAATTAAGTCCTAGAAATCATTAAGAGTTTGGTTTTTAAATTTACATAATTTATTCTGTTCTAAACATACCGAGCTTGTTCATTGTGCTGATAACTGATTCTTTTTTACTCTGCATCATATTTTTCGAGTTATACCCATCTGCAATACGGCTAGATGGTGCTGGTAATAACTTCACAAGTTTGTTTTGATCATTTATCGACGACTCAATTTTAAGGACATGATCCCCTAGCATACACTTTAAGGATCTGAATGCATCTGCTCCTTCCATTTCTTGTAAAAATTTGGACCTTGTTAAACAATTTTTTTGCTATCAGTAAGCTCTTTTCGAGTTTGAAATCGAATGAGGACTTAGGATGCTTATGATGGTGAATGAAGACGAGCATATGTATATATACTAGTAGTAAGAAATTGGAGCAAGTTGGAGATAGAATAATCTTGAAACTTTTAGACAAGCATCCAAAATTTTATGATATATTTTTCTTATTCAAGAAGTTGGTAGTTGATACCATGTTCTGATGTTTTGTTCCTTTTTGTAAAGAGGAAACAAATAGATCCAAACTCAACTTTAGATAAATTGGCCTTAATTCGTTTATTTTAGTTTTACCTATAAACTTTCTTTTGGTTACATAAATAATCTAGTCTAACCATAATTAGTAATATATTATTAAGGCAGGTGATGATGCACAAACCATCCATGAATGCTTGTGTAAGCAAAGAAGCTTTTGAAGGATCGGAAAGGCCAAACCAATAGTACAAATCAAAATCTACCTTAAAATCGACGAATTTTGTATTAGCAACTAATTAAGGTTTGTTAGAGAAGGGTTAGAGGTACGTCGAGATAATTAACAATACTATATTGCAATAAATTACAATATTTTTTTATTGATCAACATTATTATTGTCCATTATTTTGAAAGAGGTTCTTCAATTGTTTACATGCATACTTCGTATTATAATACGGAGGCTAACACGCGCGATGCGCGCGTTATAGTTAGCTATGTCCGAAAGTTCTTTCGATTTGGAGTTGCTAGTAACTTTAATTAAGGAAAATATGTAAACAAATATTTTAGGGTTATAAATGTCCACATACTATTCTTAAAAGTTTAAAAAAGAATTAACATTAATGAGGGTAAATATGTCCACATACTATTCTTAAAAGTTTAAAGAATTAACATTAATGAGGGTAAATATGTAAATAAAAATTTTAAGGACATGATCGTCTCAATACTATTCATAAAGTGTGGTCATGCTTTTAATAGGAGTAAATACGTAAATAAACATTTTTAGGGTATAATAGTCTTAACACTATTCATAAGAGTTTACTCATACTTTTAAAAAAATAGGGATATATATAGTCTTTAATTGGTTATCTATTTGATTACTAGAGGCTAAAATCTAGCACTAGCTAGGTGCACTCGTTTATGTGGATGCCGTTAATAGTACTAAATTTACTGTAGTGTAATATTTTCTTTAATATCGATCTATTTGTTATAACGGAAGTGTGCAATGGAACGACTTGGGAACTCACACTCAAACATAATATAGAATAAATAGCAAAATACGATAATAAAAGAGACAATGTTTATGAAGAAATTTAGATATCTTCCCATCAAACAAAATATTATATTATTAAGTTCCGACAAAATAAGACAATAACCCATTTTCCTCCTCAATAAACCATCGTCTTTCACCCTCTTGATGATTTTCCTCCTCAATAAATCATCATTGATGAACCATCTTTAAACCATCATTTAATAATCTAGTAAGTCTAAACCCTCTTATATAGGCTAACCTAGAAACCCACATCAATTAGGATATTTTACTTGCTACCCAAGCCTAAATAATCTTAGATTGATTATATTTCTAAAATCTATCTAATTTCCTAATTACAATCTTCATCTAATTAGGAAAGCATAAAAGATAGATATAAATAAAGGATACTATATATCTTTTCCTAAAACAAATCTTGTTGATATTTGATAAGTTTAGTTTATTTCCTAACACTATTTTTATAACGGTGCTTCTATAATGATTTTTTTAGACTTTTTACCCGAAGAAGAACCACTCGACAAGTTAAAGTTTGGAACATGTTTTATTTATTTCCTATCCCAAATTGATTATAAAGTTGACGTATATCCAAACCTGAATTAGTTTGACACGTTTAATTTCAGTTATATTTCACTTTCTTGCTGATGTGTAAACTTGCAAGATTGAGGTGTGAGTGTGACTCATGCATGGCAAGTTTTGCCACCATGGAATTGAATTAGTAAAAACATGGCCACCATTTCATGCTTGAATCACCATCATGTCGTTGCAATGCGTAGTAACTTTTGAGTCATAAAACATACTTTTGGAAGTTGAAAATGTGCTTTTTTCGGTCTCAATGATGGCAATCTAATGATCTATTACTTCATGAAAATATATAGTTAAGATAAAAAGTTCTTTCATATTTAAGGATATTCACATGCAACAACGATTTCTAATTTAGCTTCATAAATCGTAACACCCAAAAGTTTGTTTGACATTCGGGTATAATTATAATCTCATTTAGAGTATTCCCTTTTTTCCCTTGTTCCCTCTTCTTAATGATGTTATTAAATAATTAGGTCGTGTTTAGTTCACATTATGATAAGAATCTAATTAGCTTGTATTTTCTCTTCTTGATCATATTCGCCGTACATTATTGGTGATTTTGATGTTTGATATTGAAGTAAAGCATCTTGAAGCAAACTGTAGAAAATAACATGTTTTCACATGTTATTCTTCGTATAGCTGTAATCTTTGGTGTGCATAGCTGTAGCCCCTTTTGTTTCTTTTTGCTAGCTGTTTTTGTCTTTTGTCCATGTGTACTATATAGGGTTGGCATATGTGGGGTTGTATATATAAAGCCGCAGTCTAGGTTGTAAAGGGTGAGATCCGCAATGCAGAAATCAATATAGATTTCATTCTTCCTCGAAATTCAAAATCATAAACCAAAAGATCAAAACTTTTACATGGTATCAGAGCAGCAAGGTTAGAAAAGTTTCAAGTTTTTTCCTTTCTCCTTTAGATACATGTTGAAACCAGAAGAAATTTTTGATTCTCTACTAATTAAGATGGCATGAGATAAGAAAGCAAAGAATGAGATTGGGTATGCAGGCCCATTGTTTCTTGCAAACTCAGACAATGCTAATGTTCCACTTGGGAATATTACATTTAATGGAGAGAATTTTCTTAACTAGAGCAGGAGCATCAAGCTGGCACTGGGATCTAAGAACAAGCTTGGATTCTTGGAAGGAAAAGGTGGTGAAACCACACACTACTGACGCAAAGTATGCACTTTGGATGAAGAACGATTACATGCTTAGAGGATGGCTTTGCAGATCTATGGATGAGAAGATTGCTAACAACTTTACATACATAGATTCTGTAGAGAAGTTATGGAGTGAACTCAAAGAAAGATATGGAGAGAATAATGCACCATTGCTCTACCCTCTAAAGAACCAAGTAAAGAGCCTGGAACAAGAACACATGCTAGTATTTGAGTATTATTTCAAGATAAAACAGATCTGGGATGAGATACAAGATGCAGAAGGATTACCTGAATGCACTTGTAGTGCAATGAAGAAATGCACCTGTGAACTACTCAAGAAGTTCATAGAGATACAAGAGAGGAACAAAGCCATAGACATTGTAATGGGATTGAAAAAGAAAAATGAAAATATAGCTGGAAATATAATGCAATGGAACCTCTTCCCACTTTGAACAGAGTTTTTCACTTGGTGCATCAAGCAGAGAAGCAAAGACAGAAAATAAAAGGGAAGAACACCACTAAAGCAAGTGCGTTTGCTGTGAACAGAATGAATCAAGGAAGAGTATAGCTGGAGGTTTTCAAGGAAGGGAGACAAGAGAAATAAAGATGAAGAAATGGTGTGAACACTACAAAATGAAAGGACACACAAATACACAATCGATGGATGCTTCATGATCCACGGATTTCCAGATTGGTTCAAGAAAAATCAAAAAGGAAAAGGTGGTATGAAATTATGCCGCTAATGCTGGCATACTGGGAGAGAAGAAGATGAGTATGTATGTCGAGGAAAAGCCCTTGGGATGTGGAAACAAGAACGGGAATGGAGAAGGAAAAGCTGACAACAAACTTGTATCTACAATGGTATAGGAAGTAATGAAACCTTTCAACAATTAGCAATCCTCTAGAACTACCAGTAGAAAAATGGCGAACTTTGCAGGTATAATCTTAGTTTCAAATGTTATAACCTTTAGTCGAAAGTATGATATAAGAATACTTGGATTGTTGATTTTGGAGCCTCTGATCATATGTGTGGAAATGAGCAAGTTTTTACTTGTTTTAGAACACTTATTAAACCTATCAAAGTAGGTTTTCCTGATGGAACTGTGAAATTAATTAGTTGAAAAGAGTCGAGAGGTAAGGTTGTCAAGCAAGCTGATTCTTCAAGATGTGTTGTTTATTGAGGAATTTAAACATAATTATTATCAGTGAGTAAACTAATTGAAACCAACAATCTCAATGTGGTGTTTGATACGGAGAGTTGTATCTTACAGGACCCTTATTCTAAGGAAGATGTTGCGAAGGGAGTGAAAGAGAATAGGCTGTATAGGCTGGTGATGAAGTGTGATGAAGGAAAAGAGAAAGAGAGAAGATGAGAAATAATGTAGCTGTCTGTAATGAAGAAAGTAAATTGAATGTTCTACATGCTAGATTAGGACATAGTTCTCTTTCTAAGATGAGACATATTGATTATTTGCAATTGTAATTCCTTAAAGAATTTCTTTTGTGATACATGTTGTGTAGGAAAACACCATAAACTTCCTTTCAAATTAAGTAATGCAATTGCAAATGGGATTTTTGATCTTATTCATGTAGATCTTTAGGGACCGTATACAATCCCTACCATAACAGGTGAAAGATATTTCCTTACTATAGTAGATGACTATAGTAGAGTTGGACACATATGCTTTCCTGCAAGGAACAGGGGAAGGATATTCTCAATACTTTCTTTAATTACATTGAAAATCATTTTAATGTACGAGTGAAAAATGTGAGAAGTGATAATGGAACAGAATTGTTCCAAAATGAATGTAGAAGAATGTTTCATGAGAGAGGCATAATGCACCAGAGAAGTATTGCAGGTGTTCCTCAACAAAATGGAAGGGTTAAGCGAAAACACATGCATTTGATTGAAACGGCCAAAACTATGAGAATTTATGTAGAGTTACCAAGGTATTTGTGGGGTAAATGTGTGATGGCAGCAACTCACATTTTCAATCTTCTTCCTGGTGTTGAATTGGATGGAAAACACCTTATGAAAGATTGATGAAGAAGAAATCGAGCTGTGATCACTTGAGAATCATAGGATGCTTATGTTATGCATCAAATACTGAGAGAAAGGTAGACAAATTTGGAAATAAAGGAGTAAGATGTGTTCTGGTGGGATATGCAAGTGATCAGAAGGGATATCAAGTGTTTGATCTTGAGAAAAGGAAGGTATTTACCAGCAGGGATGTTGTCTTTAAGGAAGAAATATTTCCTTTCCTTATTTCTATACACAACAAGGAAGGAAATAAAAGAGTTCTAAGAGAGTTTACAAATGAATAGGAAAGGATTGAAATTGTGGATGATGAAGAAGAGCCATTGTTTGAAGAAAGGCCGGAGAGATGAGCCAATTGAAATAGAAGATGAAGACAGAAATGACAGAGAAGAATATGTTGCAGACCTAAACATTAATCACGATAATCAAGAGATGATGAACATGGTGAAAGAGGAATGCAGGAAGTTCAAGAAGAGGAAAGAAATAAGTGGAAGGGAAAAAGAAGAAGAGTTCAAAAGGAACAGCCGAGAGTCTGTTCTTCCTATAAAGTAAAAGACTATGTTTATTCTTTTCCAGGAAACAAAAAAAGCAGCAACATGGTTGAGAAAACAAGTTTTGCAGCAACAAATTTAAGTGATCTAAGTTCTTATTCCAGAGAATACATTGGCAGAGGCGGATCTATATTTAAGGTAACGGCGTCAATTGACCCCACTTAATTTTGTAAAACAAATACTTGTTATAAATACTTGAAAGATGAAAAAAATAATAAGTTATATATTTAACATTGAATTGTTTTTCTTTTGTTTTTTTTAAATATAATGGCTACTCGACTATCGTAGTTGGGTTTTAACATTGAATTGTTTAATATGAGAAAAGTGATATAAATTTATAATTAATTTATCAATATCAATACTTTTATGTGTCAATAATGTTCAATATAATATATACATACTTTTCATGTAATTTGATAATTTATAAATAATTATAATATAATTTATTTATTTTTGATTTAATTTGAACCCACTTGTATAAAATGCTAGATTTGTCACTGTACATTGGATCCTTAAATAATAAATTCAAGATAAAAAAAACCACACAGCTATTATGAAGCAATCAAGGATGAAGGTTGGATAGTTGTAATAAGCAAGAGGCTTTAGAGTTTAGAGCAAAATGAAACTTAGGAGTTGACTGAGTTACCAGAAGGGAAGAAAGCTCTAGAATGTAATAAATGGGTCTATAAAACGAAGTTCAAGAAAGATGGAACTATCGAGAGATTGAAAGCAAGAGTGGTGGCATAAGAAGACAAGCAAGTGAAAGCAAAAGACTACATAGACACATTCTCTCCTGTAGCAAAATTTATATTTATATATATATATATACATATATACATATATATATATATACATATATATACATATGTATACACACACACACACACACATGAAGCCGCCATAAGGATACACTAAAGCAAAGGAAGGACAAGTGTGCAAGTTGAAAAGGAGTCTATATGGCATAAACTTACTAAATTCCTTAAGGAATTTGGTTAGTTGAAAGCAATCAAAGAGAGATAATTCTCAATTCACCAGAGTGAAAGATGGGAAAACTATAATGGTATTGGTGTACATGGATGACTTGTTAAATTAATCGCAGGAGATGAAGAAAGTTACATCGAAAAATTGAAGAATAGCCTTGATGAAGCAATCACCATCAAGGACTTGGGAGAAATAAGATAATTTCTAGGGATAGAAGTATCTAGAAATTAAGAAGAGATCATCTTAAACCAGAGGAAATACATTCATGACTTGGTGGAAGACTCAGGGCAAAAGCATAGCAAATGCAGCAAATTCCCTATGCAAAAGGGATTGAAACTGTTAGTTGATACAAGAGATTTACTTCCTAACCCTGAATAGTATAGAAGAATGATTGGAAGATTACTGTATTTGAGGTTAACTAGACCTGACATTTCATATTCGGTATAGCAGCTTAGCCAGTTTATCCAGACACCTAGAAAACCTCACCTTCAAGCAGTTCTACATGTGATTTCCTACTTGAAGGGAACAACTGATTGGGTAGTCATGAATTCTTAATTTTAATCTCTTTTGGAGATCAATATCAATGGTGGGGAGTCATGAATTGTGCAGTTCTATCTTTCTTATATAAATTCTTATACATGTGCTGACACACGATAACCCCAATCATGAGATCATTTTATTAATTAAATTACTTGTATATATTATATACCACTATATATGGTGAACTTCAAGTCACCTAATACTTGGCTACATATAAGTTATTGTGGTGAACTTCTGGTCACCTATTACTTGTTTGCACATAGAGCTGTTCAAAGTCAATACTTATCTCTTCATTTTTTTTTCAAATCAAACTAAAAAAAAATCACATGATTCAAATAGTGTTCAATCACAATGTCATGTCTTGGCTTAGCTTTTAGTCCATTTTATACATGGGACATGAAATAAAGTCAGCACATTATTTCTGTATACAAATTAAAGTTCAAGTTTTCATAATGGGTATGTACTTTAAACTCAAATGGCTTAACTTATCACATTCAATAATTTTTCGAAATCTAATTTCTCATTATTCTAACAACATTAGTGATCACTTTATACTAATTGCTTATGTATATGATGTGACATAAGAATGTCAACATTCATTTTTCAGCAAGACACACAATCGACTAATTATGCTTTATTTGATGATAACTTATTTTAAAATATCAATTACAATCGTGATACATGTCAAATTTATTGATCAAACATATTTTACTCTACAGGAGCATCCTATATATAATCTTGGCATATACCAGTTTTACTTGATATAATAATTCTTAACGATGCCTAATTAATATAGACAATGATATATGTTCATATCCATCTTCAAGATGGTGTCATGGTAAATATTTAATAATTATATTTCGATCCTTGACATTTAAGCTAATGTATATACCAAACATATCATTAATATAACATAATATTGGCCATGTGTAAGGATTATTACATAAAATAAGGTAATCTCCCCCTAAACCTTATATACGGGGAACGAAAATTCAACAACCTTTTAAGATGCCTTGCGCCATGTAAGTCTTTTAGTGTCTTGACAATCTCATGGATCAAGCAAAGTTTCATATACACATACATTAATACTTAATTATAACAATGTACATACATAATATGCTTAAATTAATATAATAATTAATTCTTATATTACTCTTAATCATGTCCCTCGTGCCTAATTGCATCAATCATTGAATTTAAAAAACCTCTTATAAGCATGGGTATAACAAATAAACTAATCAAGTTAAGTTGCTATACAGTTATATATGGACTCTCATAGTCAATTTCTTAAAATTATAAGTCATATGTCTTTCGTTATCAATTAGATAACTTTAATCATGTT